CTCCTGTAGCGAATCGATGTGTTTTTGTAAGAAAAATATCCATATTCAAAACGTAATAATCACTATTACACTATATAATCTAGCTTGCGCTCACTGTTGTAAACGGAAGCAGTTCCGGAGGAATGACGTATGAAGTCAGCTTTGCGCATGCGTCGCTCAGAAGTGATGAACGCTGAAACGCAGCGGAGAGACACGCATCGATTCGCTACAGGAGGCCTTTGTTCACCCGCCGGAGCCGTGTGAGACACTTTTTTTATGGATGTGTGCTTTTTATTTAACTTCTTTTGGACTGAAGCAATGCAACACCCGCTGACTGCAATGATAGAGCTTGAAAGATCAAAGACAATTTTTAATATAACTCCGACTGGATTCGTCTGAAAGAAGAAAGTCATATACACCTAGGATGCCTCGGGGGTGAGTAAAACGCAGCCTCATTTTCATTTTTGGGTGAACTAACCCTTTAAGTGCACTATTGAGACATTACATTTCACATTACATGCATTAGTCACAGCAGCCATTTAGGCAACGCATTGTTCCTTTCATCAAGATCACAATCACTTCTGCATCATCATATTTTCATTATTTGCATGAAAAAAATAATGCTCCATTGTTCCCCATTTCTATAAACACTTATCCATTAATTTCACTAAAATTATTACTATGATTTGAAATTGAACGGAATCGAGTTTAGTAGACTCAAACTGCATTTGGTTATTATAGATAAAAATTCCCTTGATTAGGTCAGACAGTGTGGAAGTCAAAGAGAAGAAAAGAGGTGTGGCCTAAAGTTTGGGATCTCTAAGTTTTTTAAAAATGTTTTTCAAATCCGTCTCTTACTTTCACTAAGGCCTATATTTATTTATTATAATTATTATTACCGTTATTTGATCAAAATACAGTAAAAACAGTAATGTTGTGAAGCATTATTACTATTTAAAATAAGGTTTCTATATTTTAATATATTTTTAAATGTAATTTATTCCTGTGATGACTCCAGTCTTCAGTGTCACATGATCTTTCAGAAATCATTCTAATACACTGATTTGGTGCTCAAGTCTTTATTACGTATTACTTTAGTCCTTAATATAAGGTTCTAAAGGACTGCAAAAGTCCTAAATTTATATTTGCATTAATAAAGCCACGTCAAATTCATAACACCTTTCCTATATTTGCTTCTCTTGTGGCCCTCCAGCTGTACTGTCCTCTCTTCTCCATCTTTCTCTCTCTTTGTTAATGAAAAAGTGTTATCTTTTTACAATGACTTGAATATCCATTCGACAAGCTATGTTAAAATTATTACATTGTATGACTGTAATTGCTGGATACGACGGAAAAGGACAAGACCAGTGATGTGAGACAGAAACGTAGTGGGAAAAATGCCATCTACGCTTATGTGACATTCAGTTCTACTATTAAATGGGAGTTTACAGAAAATGCAACCAACCTTCAACTGACCCAAATACACCAAACAGTCTGTGTGTGTGTTTAAGTGTGGATTTACCGTTTAACTGTGCCTGATTCCTGCTCAGCACATCTTCGAGCTGTTGTTTCAGTCTTGCGTTTTCTGATCGTGTTTGGGCTGCTTCCTTTTGATAGTCCTTCACCGTCGCTTCCACCTCCACCCAAATATCACGAATGACAATTGACATTCGCTTCATCAGGTTGGAATGTAACTTATCTAGTCTTGACATTTTACCCAAGTATAAAACGAAAACAAATCCAATGAAACGCGAATAAAAGCAACTCACTTTACTTGCTTATTCTCCTCTTGTTTTAATGGCTATTTGCAGACTCTAGATGTAGATTACTGCCACCTACTGTACTGTATGAGCATCCTAGATATCAAAAAAAATGTTTGCAATACCAGGCTAATCTTTTTTTTTCTTTCTTTTTCTTTTACTGAAAATCTTTGAGTGAAGATTATTAATGTAGTTATTCACTTTATTGTTTTGAGATATTCGTAGGTTCAGTAGCTGACTGGACATCATGAGGTCGTGAGACACGTAAAGCCATACACCGTTACCTAGCAACAACATTAAACCATCCTAGATATGGTTAGTTAACCATGTTCAATTTCCACAGTTGACTGACATTTCTAGGTGAGGTTATGTCTATAAAGTTAGATTTGAGCCAATATATCTTTAATGCTCATTTTATAGGCTTTGTCCTTATACTAGTTCTGAATCCATATCTAACTATGTACATTTTCACAGTACTTTTGCACTCCCTCGCGCTTATTTGTGCTGTTTTCATTGATGTTTAAAACTAGACAATACCTATGAGCAAGTAACGTAACGATATTTGGAGAAATTATTTTAGTAGCTTTTCACGTTGTACGCTCGAGACTCAGATCACTCACGTCTAAACCAATAATTAAGCTAATAATTCGGTCAAGCATTATCCGCAATCTCAGTCGAAAACTGAATTTCAACAATCATTAAAATTAAATAATAAAGCTTTAATTGATGTATTTATGTAAATGTTTGTATTCCTTCTACATATTGCTCAACGAGAAGAGTAAATATGCTATCAAATTTTGGCTAAAGTAATGTTTTGAAGACAACCATAGGGAGGCGCTGTTTTTTTATATCATTTTTAACAGCAACCAATGCAATTCTAATCAAGCTTATGAAATTGTTCTAAGTATGCATATTTAATTTGGGGTTTAATGTTTTGGGGCTTTCAAGGTTGCAAAACTTAATTAAGAATTTGGATTCAATTATGTCTGAGCAGTTTACACTCAAAACTTTCATGAGCCTGGAAAATTCCTTGCAGTTAAACCTTTGATAAATACATTAGTTCAAGTCCTATTACAGGCAACGTTCATCTGTCTCAGAGGAACTGAGCTTTACATCTATTAAATGGCTTAGCTTTTAATCATAAGATGGTTGACTGTACTGCATGTAGTCACATCTTTCCATCTCAGGTCTTAATTAAGTTCTGAGCACAGTTGCCCTTATCTAAAACATGTCTAACGCTGTCAGCCAGTGAAAGAGTTATGTAGTCTGGCACATGGTGGCAGACAGAAGTCTTTGTCCTTTTTGTATTAATTCCAGAGGTCCATCACATTCAGTAACAGAAACAGTTTAACAAAGACAGAAGTGGCAAATAACGAAGATTAAATCACAGGTTTAAAAAAATCTAATTTCATTCCATTTAATTTTACAGTTACACTTCTGACCTTGGCAAAACAGTCTGGTGCATCATCTGAGATCAATTTTATGTTAAATAATACATCAGTCAAACTCAAAGAGATTGTCTGCATGCAACATCATAGTTGTCTTTTAAAGACCTGTCCAATAATGAACATGCATCAGAAGGTTTAATGTGAGCTTGGTGTCTGTGTATTACTCCCACCATTGAGTTCTCAACTGCTATTCCCATCACAGTCAAACAAGAGCCTCCTAGAGCTTGCCAAGCAGACAGAGATACAACCTCTCCCGCTTAGATCAGATTTAGCAATCATGTTATTTGATTACACTGTGTAATTAAATCCCACAAGGTTAAGTGTGCACTCCGTCTTGTCGTCTCCATTACTTTTGTTCTGTTTACTTAGTGACATTTAAAGGGGTCATATGATGCAATTTCAAATTTTCCTTTCTCTTTGGAGTGTTACAAGCTGTTCGTGCATAGATAAGATCTCTAAAGTTGCAAAAGCCAAAGTCTAATAAATGACTAAATAAAGTTGCAAAGACTAAAGTCTCAAACCCAAAGAGATATTCTTTATAAAAGTTAAGACTTGTCCACACCCTCCTAAAACGGCTCGTTCTAACACCGAACATGTCTACGTCACTGTGTGGGAAGATTTGCATAACACCGCCCAAATGTTCATGCAAAGAAAGAAGGCGTAACTTTTATTCTTGCTGTAGTATTGTTGTTGCTGCCGCCATGTCGTGAAGTCGTGGTGTGTTTTGTTGTGAAAGCGAAACTACTTTGTTTGGCCTTCCAAAAGAGGACGATATCTGCTTCGTCATGCCTAGAGCTGATCCGTGCTGGTTGCTGAGGAAATACATCAACTTCGTGCTGTGGATAGCCGGATCAGCTTTCCCCATGGGCGAAGCCCGGGGTCGTCACATGTGGTTGCCGCAAGCCCGCCGGACGCTCCTTCGTTGAATCCGCCGGCCGCGCCGTTCTCAAGCCCGCCGCCTCTGCTCACTCTAGCCCGCCGTGTGTGACGCTGTGTGTTTCGTTGTGAAAGCGAAACTACTTTGTTTGGCCTTCCAAAAGAGGACACAACTAGAAATCAGTGGTTAAGTTGTATTTACAACACTGTTCCAGAACA